AAATATGCACTTTGGAAAGTCTTCAGGAAGAAAGAGGAAAAAAGGAAAAAAAAAAAATACAAAAAAGCAAAGACGACTGAAGCTTTCCCATTTGGACCCGATTTTTCATAGACCAAAACAACAGCGGCAGGAGGAAAAAAAAAGAAAATAAAAGGAGAACAAAAAGAAGGAGAACTAAAGAACTAAAGAAAGGAGAACTAAAAAAAAAGGAGAATTAAAAAGAGAGAAAAACAAACCCAAGACTCACCCTGCTCCTGGCTTTGATGCGCTTGTAGACGAAGTCGGGGAAGGGTTTGCGGGGGATGTAGCGCCCCGAACCCTCGCTCACGTGCAGGTTGCCATCCTCCAGCACGATCTTGCCCTGGCTGATGACCACCAGAGGAGAGCCACGGCACTCCATGCCCTCGAAGATGTTGTACTCCAGGGACTGAAACGAGCGACAGAGGGTTTGCTGTAATTAACGCCGCGCTAATCGGCGAAATTTCAAAATTTGAAATTTCAGCGGCGGACGGAGAAAAGCTCAGCGGTGTTTGCCTGGGTGATGTGAGTTAATAAAGGCTGCTCTTAATTAGCAAAGTTTGGGGTTTTTTTTAATGTAAAATTTCTGTTGAGATTGATAAAGAATCTGAGGATAGTCTGGGATGTGAGTTATTAAAGGATGCTCTTAATTAGTAAAGTTTGGGGGTTTTTTTGACTTAAAATTTCTGTTGAGATTGATAAAGAATCCCAGAATAGTTTGGGATGTGAGTTATCAAGGGCTGCTCTTATTTAGCAAAATTTGGGGGTTTTTTAATGTAAAATTTCTGTTGAGATTGGTAAAGAATCCCAGAATGGTTTGGGATGTGAGCGACCTTCTCCTGTTGAGATGAGATTGATAAAGGATCTTGGAATGGTTTGGGGTATGAGTTATTAAAGGATGCTCTTCATTAGCAAAGTTTGGGGTTTTTTTTAAATGTAAATTTTTAAAATTTACATTTTTTAAATGTAAAATTTCTGTTGAGATGAGATTGATAAAGAATCATGGAACAATTTGGGATGTGAGTGACCCTCTCCTGTCGAGATGAGATCGATAAAGAATCCCAGAATAGTTTGGGATGTGAGGGACCTTCCCCCATCCCAGGGTACTCCAAACTCCGTCCAGCCTGGTTCTTTTACCACCAGAGACCATTTCTGACTCAAAAGTCTTTTTTTTTTTTACCACCAGTGAC